ATGAAATATTACATTTAGTACGGAATTATAAGCCAAATAAAATAAAAACATCTGCCCTGAAGATAAGGATAGTGCTAACAGATCAACTTCCAATTCATTGCATGCCGCGGCGTCCCCCCGCCGCAGAGCAGCGTGAAATTGATAAACAGATTTCGGAGTGGTTACATAAACAAAGGATATGCTTTTATCCATTTTTTGCAGCAATTCCACTTTTTGTTTAATGGACTTCGAAACATACTTTCGCTTTGTAGATCCTTTACATATTAGTAAATATGTATCGGAAATTCTATTTGACATAATCAAAAGTTCAAGCTTACTTTTATAAAATTGCTCTAACAGTCTGCAAAAAATAATAAGCCGGATCCAATTCAAAGATTAAGGAACAACGCAATCTGCAAACATTAACTGAATTAGATAATTTTAGCTTAGCTTATACCATCCGTTATACATTAAACGCGCATGTGTAAACGTATTTTGGGCATGCGCACACGCATATTTGCAGCCGTAAAGGTCTTACGGGCACGCGTCAATGCGATGCAAGCGCAGCAAGTTTGTAGCTTTGAGGTCCGGATTATGGGTGTCCGAATTAACGACTTTTGACTGTATATAATAATATTAATTTAATTTGATGAAAGGTTAATTTAATATAATACATTTTTTATTATTTTAATTTATAAAAAAAGGCTAAATATAAGAAAAATTAAACAGCAGGCATAAAATTTTTATGTCTTCCAATCTTGCAGAGAAAATTTCAGTTTTTTTGTGAAAATATCTGTACGTAAACTCGGGCAAATAAGAATTGAAATGCTGTCAAGCATTGCCCTGATGGCATTTATTACGCCATTTAGCACAGCTTGATACTCTTTAGTCTGCATACATAAGTTTGCATATTTTATTTAGTCAAAAAAGAGCAACTTACAGGCGTTTACCTGTAATGTTATTGATAACTTCCGATTTGCATTCATAAATGTTTGCATTTAAACATATTTTTGCCTTTTTAATTGAATTCATGTCATTTTCTGAAGTACAGGGTTCATAATGAGTTTCCATATTTGAGGGGGGAAAAGATTCAAGTCCAGCAGCTCTATTCACCATAGAGTCCAACAAGGAGATACAAACTCCACAGAAGTAAACTGGGCCTCCAAATTAGTAACTCCCAATCCTTATCCACAAGCCACTGACTTAAGAGATTAGTCACCAGCTGAATTACACTAATGGGGACAGCTAAATGCCTCCTGTTTCAGTTTGAATCATCAAAGCAATGTAGTAGAAATAGTACCTCACCCATCAAATACCAAGATTCTCCTTTCCAGCTTTACATTCTCCATGCATGGCAAATGTATAGGCAGTTTCCTCTCCCTGAAAAGCCAGATACTAAAAGTTTGCAACATCAACTCAATTTGAGCTCCAAGCTCTGAATGAAACCACAAGAAAGGACAAAGCAGAAGATGAAAAGGAAAGAAGGACAGATCAATGAAGCACCTCGGATCATGACACGTGCTCACCATCTCGAGGAAACTGTTTTTAATCCAGGCTGCAATTTTATGACCTAAATTTCAGGAATCAATAATAATTCTTATGTAAATGAATTAAACTGTGATCTGATAAATCATCTTGAGAGAGAGACAGCCCTGAAATATATTTTGCTCAGCTCAAATTAGAACTGCTCAGATCTCACTTTATTTTATTTATTTACCCACAGTGACAGTTGCAGGGCTTCTATAATGTTCAGCAAATTTGACCATTAATGTAAGTGATTTAAGTGCTAGAGTAACATACAACATGATTATATCAATGGCTAAAATTAACCACAATGGTATTGCTGTTAACATTATCCATCCGTAAACCATTGTATTATTATTATTATTATTATTATTATTATATACTCATATGAGGCAATCAAAGGGTCAGTTAATTTTTGTCTTGTATTTATACAAACATCATTCAGTATACAGATACACTAATAATTTTCTTTAATATATAATATTGATATAAATTAACAATATATAATACTTATTACATACATATTTAATATAATAACTAAGAATTTTAGCTTAAAAGAATAACAAATTTTGAGCAACATAAAATTGTTGCTGTTAGTTCAAATAATCCCCCCTCCCTCTAAAAACAATGTCGTCACTCTCTAATATAATTTAGTACAGTCAAATCTGGTTAATTGGACCACCGAATAATCGGACCAGCCGCCTTTTTCAGACCAAATCCTAAAGAACCGAAACAAATCCTATGTACATAAGCCTAATATTATTCGCTTATTTAGACCAAAATTCTGTTTAATCAGACCAAAAAAATTTAGCGAATAAAGAAACAGAAGCCACAAGTCAGCCACATACAGCAGATGTGCAGGTGGTCTGCGACATATGGGAGGATCTATAGTTGTGGCTCTACAGGAAAATGCTTTATCAAAGGTCAGGAATTCCTTTAAGTGCATGACAAAAGCAATCCCGGTGGGAGGTGAACATGCGCACCATTTTCTTTGACCTTTTTTTGACCTGCGCCTCCGAGTTTCGAGGAAATGAACAATAGAGTGTTGGCTCCACCTGAAAGGAATTCCTGCCTGTCAATCATGATTAAAGTTTACACGAGAAAGCTATCATTTCATCACCTTTTTAGGGATGATTTTAGTGCCAAAGCTTTGAATGGCAAGCATTTTATATCCCTCTTGACCTCAACCAAAACGATTGCTTCCCGATGTGGTCTGATTTTCACTCAATTCACTGTGAAATGCTGCTGGGAGAAAAAAAAAAAGATTGAGGATGTTTTGAGGGGAGATCAACAAGCTCCACAGCATACTCATTTAGAGATGAAAACAAGTGGACCCAATAACAAACGTTGGATCAGAACACTGGCCACTCCACCTCAATATATGTATGTAACTGTCATCATGAAAGATAAATGGGATTTTTTTCACTAAAGGCATCTGCCTCCAACTGGGCAGTTCAAGATGATGCAGACAGACACTAGTCTAGATATTCCGTATAGTCTAAGTCTAAGGTAGTTTTCATAATAGATGCTGTTTAATTCCTACTTCTGCCTCTGAATGGTACCCCTTGATATCAAAGGTCACATTAAAGATGGCAAATTATTTTTAACATTCTTTGTACAGATTACAGCAATTCCACTATAGTGGTTATGGCAGTTTTACTCGTACCATTTTGTATAAACAGAGGCATCTTGAGAATCAGCATTATTTACAGGAGCTTTCTCTAATTCACTGAAACTAAAATTCAGCAATTAACATATTACTTTGACTAAGATGACAGCTGATATTATGAATTCTGACCAAGATGGCAGTTGGAGCAATCCATATCTTCCAAGCTTATGATGTGATGTCTCTCTAAATCAGAAAACTACAATCAAATATGTCTCAAGATAATTTTATATACAGCTTGAAGTACCAAACTATAAAATATATACAGCTTGAAGTGCCAAACTATAAAATATAAATAAAATGGGGTATGAGAGAGAATACTGGTCTATTTAAATAGCTGCTATGTTCCCAAGTCTATACCTTTTGTACTCATATTTTAATCATTTGCATAGAACGTTTTGCAGCTGTAGCTCATTTGTTTGACAGGCACATGTACACTGTGCAAAAAAAAAAAAAAAAGGGGGGGCAGTTCTATATCTCGTTCTACTAGGCCGACTTATGAAATTTAACTTGTGTCTTTCATATCTCGAAAGCGTGACTTAAGATATGTATTATACTTATATATAGCATTGTTCTAATATATGTGTTTTGACACAAAATCTGGCTTTTTCTGAAGTAACATACCAATGTTTTTCTATATTTCAATTCTATGACTCAAATTACGCCAAGCTACCAAGTTCTGTAAAAATCGCATGAGTAGTTTTTAAAAAATTAGCTCACAAAATTCATGTTACTGTTAATTAATGTTAATTGAGTTTGGTATATATTTATTAATCTCTCTTTTTTTATTCAAACTTATTTAATTTTTCTTTCTCATTTCGAAAATTTAAGGTTCATTCTAAAATAAAATTCACCCATTTTTTTATGATTTATTTTTTAAATTTGTATTTTTAAATAATTTTTATAAATTTTTCGAAAACAATTTTGAAATTATAAGCTATACAAATTTTTACCATCATCTTAAAGTAGACGTATTTCTAAGTATACCTGGAAAAAAATTATAGTTTTTTATTTAACATTTCCGAAGATATATGCGAATTTATATATTTGCACGTTTTGAAATTTGGCATATTTGTTGAAAGCGATAAAACATCAAATGTGGTTTAAACTCTTTGCTAAAATTATTTGAAAAAGTAGAACGATGTGACTTTTTTTTCCGCTCATGCAAAATGCAATTTAAATTTTGTCAATTGGCCCAGTAGAATGAGAAATACAGAACTGTCCCCCCCTTTTTTTACGCAATGCACATTATTATAACAATATACATTTCAGTTATGGTTATAACTATTAGAAACAAACAGCTATGTAAAAAATAAAAAAAAACTGCTTTAAAATAGTTTACTTATTTTATTTCCCAGTAGTACAGTTCTTATTAGTTTAATTTAGGTTATTTTAAAGCCTACAAATAAAATCTGCTGTGTTGCAAAAAACGCATAATAGTTCTTTAATTATCTATGTTGAATATCAAACAGAATAAAAACTATCTGCAAAATGAATAATGACTTTCGATCAGATTTTTTGATTTTTTTTTTTTTTTTTTTTTTTTTTTTTTTAAATATTTTCGAGTTAGAATGAATAGCAGTAAGGAAATTCAATGCAGTATAATATTTTCTAAATTAGAACTAACAATCCAATGGAATTCACTGGATATTTAAAGCAAAGAATTGATACTACACATAATCAATATAAAAAAATAATGGAATAAAATTATGACATATGTTGCATAAAAATACATCTTACACTCACACCACACACACACACACACACACACACACACAAAAAAACACACAAAAAAAAAAACTACACCTTGGCTACCCATAATTATACTTACTTGTGTGTGAGTTCGACCAATTTTGACAATTTCAGCAAATTCCTTTTCTTTAGTTTTCAATGCATCATGCAGCTCTCTAAGAGCTGGAAGAAGAGAAAGTTCTATTTCCATAGCTACAGCAATATGCATGGCAGTAGGATAGGTATCATTTGAACTCTAAAAATAGCAAAACAGATTGTATTTACTTGAAGGGCATAAAAATAAAGTCCCCACCCCTTGATTTTATCCTTCAAAATTTTATTTTTGCAATCATTTATGTTCTGCATCTTTTTTCTTTCCTTAAGAATTTCTAAGCATAAACTGTACACAGTAATTAAATTATAATGACAATTAACAATGAAAACAAAGTTTAGATTGAAAAGTGGACTGAAGGAAAAGAATAACAGAATATCTATCACATGATATAAACTCTGTGGAAATAAAATGTTGTTCAATATATTTTGGAGCTGAAAAAATAACCTTAAGATACCAGTAAAATTCATAATTCAAAAGAATGCAAGTATGTTACAAACAAACCTATTTTATTACACTAACATATGTTTGATTATATAAATTTCATAATTCAAAAGAATGCATGTATGTTAATATGAGAAAAATTGTCATAAAAGAGAGGAATCCAATTTTTTCATTTATAAAATTTAAATAAATTACTCGTTATGCTTTATTAACAAATAATACTTAGATCACAGAAGAAACTGACTTCAGAAATGTGAGCAAAAAATATTTCAGAAACTTTCAGGGTCTTCCAAACAAATTTCATAATATCACCTTTATAATAAAGTATATGTTTACTACGCTTGGTCAAATAATTGTGCAGTTCAGATTATCATGTAGCAAATGTTAAGGGCTAATAATTTACATTAAGGGAGACTGAAATTTATTTTTAAATCTTTATGCAAGTTTGGAATACAATATCCAGGATTACAGGATCACATACATCACAACTGTGAGGTATTGACTGTGCTATTCAACAATTTTTTTAAAGGAAATCTAACATAAATTATAACATATAATTAATTAACTTACTTGACTTTTATTCACATGATCATTAGGGTGAACAGGATCCTTGCTTCCTAATTGACCACCTAGTATTTCTATTGCTCTGTTAGCAATTACTTCATTTACATTCATATTCGTCTGTGTTCCAGAGCCTGTCTGCCAAATGACCAGAGGAAAATGATCCTTAAGAGTACCATCTATCACCTAAGTACAGTAAAAAGGTTAATTAAATACTTCATTAAAAATTTAATTGTCATTAAATCAGTTTGCTTTTTAATTTTAATCAACAAAAATTGTAATGCTGCAGAAAGAATGGCTACTAGAAAACTGAAATACATCCTTAACTTTTTTTTTGGCACTTTACACAATAACTGATTTTATTCCTACCACAGATGTTTAAAACATATAATACTTCAATACTGCCTAAGCTATAAATATGTTAAGAATGTATCTCACATATCATATATTAATCACAATTTCAATGTGATTTTCATACTTTCAATAAAAGCTGACAGATATATTTGTACATATCTACAAGTGCATATTTTTTAACATTAATTAATATCCAAATATACAACAAAATATCCTTTAACATGCATTTTGTAGGATAAACAGAAGTCTTTGTGCCTTATCTGTGTAAGAAAGAAAAATGAAAATAACTTGACTGCCTCTTTACTATTCAATATTCTTAACAAGTCAGCACTTTCTTCTAAGTTAATTTTTTTGTGGGGGGGGGGGAGGTCAGTTTCAGTGTATTGGACTATTTCCCATGTTTTAAAGCTGTCATTTTCCTCATGGATATCTGGTTTACCAAATAGAAAAACTTTATCGCTCAGCTTTCTTCAAATTTATGAAAAACATTCCTCTAAAACAAAGCATGCCTATAAATTGAATAACACTCAATTAGACCAGTGGTCTCAAACTGCATGTGGGTTAAATGCACAATCTAAAAACAGCTTCCGAAGCCAGAAATTTTTTTAAACAGAATTAAAATTCTTCAACAAAATAAAAAATAATTTAATAAAGTTTAAACTTTATATATTTATCAAAATATGTAAAGTTTAAAATTAAGCTATATATTTATCAAAATTAAATTTAAGCTATATAATTATCAAAACATACATAAATAATAATAACACAAAAAAATTCAATCTATTATCTATCTGAAATTTAAAGCTTCATCCATTCTATAATTTTTGACAGAGTTTGTAATTCAAACATAATTACAACATTAATTTCAAATTATGCTAATATGTTTAATCAATCATTAAATAACTTACTTTAAACTAAAAATAATCAAATTATGAAAACTTTCCAACTGGGCCAAAACTTGAGAATAAATAATGACAATCTTGTCTCTTTCTCTCATTTATTAAAATTTTCTTCAACATATAAATTAAAATACATGTGTTTATACATAAACAATTATTAATTTTGTATTTAAACACAAAATTGATTCTATAATGCCCATGCACTGTAGAAAAATTACTAGAAATTATCTTCATCAGAGATTGTCAGTGCTCAAAAGTCAAACATATTATTTGGTAATTAATTTTCAACTGTAAGAAAAGCTATTAATGTATTCCCAAACAAGGCAACTATTCTTAGAGGAAATATTTGTAACAAAGTGCATTCTTTTTTTTGGCAAGTATGAATAAAAGTTAATGAAATATGCATCTTTAAATCTTTGAATAAAATTTATTTCACACTGTAAATTAATTGACTCAATTTATAGATTTTCTGGTACATTATTCATATTCGTTTTTAATGGTAATGTAAACTTGAGCTTTAAATAATTAAAATCTTCAAATCTTTACAATACAGAATTTATATATTCACAGGCAACATTAAATTGCTTCAGAGCTAACATGCAGCCTGAGAGCTGCCCCTCTGAAACTACTAAATTAGACCATCACCAACATCACTTCTGTAACAATCAAATGAGAGATACTAGGATTGCCATCAAAAGTTACCTAGGCACTTACTGTAACTCCAGTTCAAAACGGATCAAAGACAACAAAATATTTATACTTTGTTAGATTAGAATACCAGAAGATAAGACTATGTTAATGAAAGCAAAATAAAAAAAAATCTGAAATGAAACTCTTATCAGTTTTTAAATTACTGATAAGACATACTTAATAATTAATGAACAATTAAGATATCAAATAACGTTATCACCAGGGCTGCGGAGTTGGTAGGGAAAATGACCGACTCCGACTCCAACTCATCGAATTTTAAAAACTCCGACTCTGACTCCCTCATATATATATATGTTACTGTGAAAGACCGAAATTGGAGAATGTCGACATTCATCAATGAATGTCAACACATACCAAATACATCAGTGAAAGATTGAATATTTGGTTATATTCTTGTACATTCGGACCATCACCGGTGTATGTCGACAATCACAGATATACTGTGGTGGAGGTCCAAAAGAGATGTTGAGTTCAACAGAGGGGCAAACTGTCTGTCACAAAATCCTTTGCTCTGCTGCGATTGAAGTTATGTAGCATGTATTTGTTATACTGTGGAACACTGCTTGTCAGTCTTATGATAGGTTTGATGGTACGTGCAACATTTTCCTAAATTTTGCTTTTTTTATCTGATACCCTAATTTATGCTGAATGGATACTGCAGTGAATCGTGAACTTTTCTTTGAAAAGTTAAATGCATTAATTGCGAATAAACGAGAAGACAACTGTTTTATTTTTCAAACACATCTTTTCTCACCAGGATATGTTATGCCTTATGAAGCTATGTTTGGCATTAAACCAAGAACAGGCATAGCATCGTCTTTTCTTTTCTTTTTTTTGCCTGGCGAACAAATTGCAAATATTGAAACCGAAGAACAGCTCTTAAGAAATTGCTAATACTTTTGAAACCGAAGAACAGCTTGAAGAAACTGTTAATACTTTTAAAGAAAATTTTAGCAGAGGCCATACCAAAAACCATATTCCAAAGAAAAATATTGAAGAGGACCTGAAACGTAGCACGTCTTTGTATCAAGTCTGAACTATTAATTTTTACAAAAAGATTGGCCCTGGAAGAGAATCTTTTACTGCAAGCAACAAAAATCTTATGAATATTTTAAAAAAAAAAAAAAAAAAAAAAAAAAAAAAAACCTCCTGCTCAAATTGGTGATATTGTACGAATACAAGTCCCTGATGTCGACCGTGGTCGTACAGATGGCCGAAATGTCTCGGCAGTTGTTGCTGGAATAAAACCCCAGCTTTTATAAACTAGGAAATAAAAATGACACCTTCAAGAAGCTTTATATCTGTAATCAGTTCGTAATTCGTAAATAAAAGTTACTTTCTGTATATGAGATTTCTTCTCAAGTAATGTCGCTAAGAGAAGCGAAGCAGCTGCAGCTAATTCGAGAAATAGAGGGCAAGGCTATATAAACGCTGTGACTGAAAAAGGAAGTGTTCCACAACTAAGTGCAGTCGTAAAGGCAAGGGATTCTTGTGCAATTCAAAATGTCATAAAAGTTTATGTTGTTGCAATAAATAAGATTTCAATCACATAATTAAGTTTTTTTTGTATTATTTTATTTTCTCATTTAGAATGTATTGTTTAAGTTCAAATGTTTATTTACATGTGGCTGTTACTTAAGCTTTTTCATATTTTGACATATACGGTATAAATGCAAAAGTAAAAAAAAAAAAAAAAGTGCTTTATTGACTAAATTTAAAACTAAATGCTTAACATTTATCCAAGCACAACTGCTGTCATTATTAAGAAGTCAAGTAATATCGAGTAGCCCTTCTCGCGTTAGAATCGAAAGCTACATGTCATGCAGCGAAAACACCTCTACAGAGTTACGAACAACTCTTCTCACCAGGGATTGGTTACTCCTCTCAGCAAGACAGGCGAAAACGTTACCTCATCCTTGAAGTTTTATGGCGTCTGAAATACAGAAAACAAAATGCAAATCTCTGACATATTCAACATTCACCATTTGTGCATGGTGAATGTCAACATTTGTCCGGTGTAAGCCAGAAATTAGGATATTTGGCAAATATTTTGGAAATGCACCAAGCGAGTATGTGAATGTTGACATTTAACAGATCTTATAGAATTTCTTAAAAATCATGGAAGAACTCTCAATGCTTCAAATAAAGTGACTAATACAAAATTTTTTTGTACCCCTGTCGTTTCTAACGCAAATAAAAACATATACAAAATTCGTGTAGATTATGTAATTTGAGCAATCACAAGCTTTTTAATTGTCCTAAATTTCAGAAATTAAGTGTAAAAGAAAGGGTAGAATTTCTGAAAAAACAGAATTTATGTTTTTGTTGTTTTAATTTGCACAGTGTAAGAAATTGCCGTTCTAATTACTTGTGCAAGGAGTATTAGAAAAAACATAGCTTTCTGTTATGTTAGCAAAATGAAAATAATTCTGTTGGTACCACAGTAGAAAGAGCAGACACTTCTGATCAGGAGTTGGGTGATCAAAACAGCAATGGGTTAAATGTACATGCACCTGCATTTCAAGCTAGAACTCAAAACGAAACCTTTACAGCCGCTACAGGTACTAACAGTGGGAAAAACATGATTTTATCTACTGCCTTTGTATTCATTGAGACTAATGATGGAACTTTAATTAAGGTGAAAGCATTATGTGATAGTGGAAGTGTTTCTTGTTTTCGTACCACTGAATTAGCGGATATACTTAATTTAAAAAGGGAAAAGACAAATATTTCGGTTTGCAGTATATCAGGTATTTCAACTCTGATAAAAATCTGTAATCACGAACAAACGTATAAAAGGAAACTAGACGTTTTAGTAATTCCAAAAATAGCAGGTTTAACTCCTGCAAAATTTATTGATGTTAGTAACCTTGTGATTCCTGTGAAGGTGAATTTAGCGGATCCGAAATTTTATAAACCAGAGAAAGTAAACCTGTTGCTTGGCGCAGAAGTTTTTTTATGATACGTTACGAGCTGGTAAAATCTATATTCCTCACACAGGCTTGATGTTACAAAATAGCGTGTTTGGATATGTAGTTCGTGGAAATACAAATGATTCACGGCAAAAAAATTTAGCATATTGTGGGTTAATAAATGATAATTTAGAGAGTGAATTGAAAATGTTTTTTGAACTAGAATCGTTAGGAATTAAAAACGATCCTTATTGTCATGAGGAAGACAAAGCATTGGAAATATTTAATAAGACAGTTTATTTTAAAGCTG